GTTGCAGCTGGCTGCTTGCAATGAACCTATGGGAGATGTATAGTCGTCCACGATAGCTGTATCCTTTATGGACATTGCCTGCGCAGCGGTAAGTGTGTACCCCTCCGGTTTTTGCGCAGATGTAATCTTGATCATGACGTAACTAACGTCGAATGACATTTAGCTCGACACTGATATCTGTTTTGACGAGTCCTGTTTTCTCTACTCCGAACACTGTTTCGAGGGCTCGACCACCATTTATTTGTTTCGTACTGTTTTTCCCTCACGACTCAAATAGCAAATACAGATGACCGCTTTGCTGTTCAAATTGATCTCGACAAAATTAGTACGTGGTGCTTAATATACCGATGAAGCATTAATGTTACTGGGGAAAAACGCATTGATCGCGTCATATCAAATGCTTGCAGATAACTAGTTCTTTTACGGCGTTCACTGCGCCAGGCACCCTAAGTTACGCGTCTGCTTGCTTATAAACCTATTATCCTCCCAACATTGGAATACGCAAGCGTCATCTGGGGAAACCACACAAACACTATCTCACCACAAGTCTTGAATCATTGCAAAACACAGCCGCCTTCTTCACGTTCAGTAACTACTCATAGCTAGTCCTTGTCGAGTGTTTAAAACAGAATCTGGGATTGTCTTCTTTACAGATATGACGTAAATTTTTCACTTCTGTTTCTTTCATCGCATCTATTATAGTGATTCAATTTTCGAACAGTCATTCTGTAGACTAGCGACCCACATTTCACCAACAATTCAGGACATTCGGAAAGTTGAATCCTTCATTTCCCGTGCTATTCTATTCTCCTCATCCCCGCTTACATTGTGTATCTGCTACTGGAGCGCACACTGAGATTATTGGGTGACATAACAAGTCTCAAAGCTGTTTAAGAAGAAAAAAAAAAAAATGTCAAGGTTTGTTTTATCGAACCCGTATCAGGTGATTGTTACGTGCGCATTTTTGAATTTTCGAAATACTGTGCAATACCTGCTATTTTTAGCCACTATCCTGTTTTTATTTTCTGTAACGTTAGTACCAAATGTTTGTGTTTTTTTATTTTTGTTTTTGCTTTGTAACACTATCCGTTGAAGTAGTACATCCGCAAGTACGTTCCTGAGCAAAATAAATAAAGATAAAAAAGCTATTTCGAAAATTATGTCTGGGTTGAGCGGTGCGTGTCAATTGTACATTCGTCTAGGACTGTACCACATCTGACGTTCTTATTCTTCACAAACCAGTATACACTCCAGACATCGACAGCTTAAAAAAGGACTAAAATGAAGAATTTTTTTAAAGGGCGTAGATGGGGGGACACGTTTTTTTTTATTAGTATTTTTTGCTAATTTTCAGCGAATGCAACCGTTAGACACCGTTAGCGCCAATTTAGGTAGAGGCCACGTCCCACTCAAAGCCCCGCCCATTATTACTGGATTGATTTGGCTGCTCCGCCGAACACGCTCGCAAACCTAGTGTCTCCCTTTCGCGACATCCGGTGAGTCTAACCTGGCGTCTGACACCGCCTGCTAGTCGTGCGAGCAGACGCGCGGCAGAATCGGCATCATCTGCTATTTCACCACCGTCTGTTGTCGTCTGCAATGCCCGCAAGGCGCGGACATGAAGGCTGCGCGTCGGCGTCCGTTTTCGTCTCCGTCTAAAAACTTCCGCAACGCTCGCGAGACGCGACCACGAAAGCGATGTTGTATAGCGTTCCGTCATGCACGAGTCAGGTTCAGGTTTAAGAAACACAGGGTGCCATCTATTGGGTTAGTTCCGATTGATGGCGCCCAATAGAGTTTACTCGTCATTTTTTTTTATCGTAAGAGTGATTTAAATCTGACAGTGCTATAAATGACCATTTCCAGAAAATAGCGTGCGTATTTGCTTTTGCAAATACCGCGAAACACGCCGTCTAGTTCGGAACCGAAAGTGGTTGGGGGCTATTTGCACACTGGCGCCACAACGCTTTAACTCACGCGAGAAAGAAAGAATAACTGTGTTTCGTGCGTTTGGACATTCGGAAGATTGTTGGCCACAACGGGTGTGTGGTGCCTCAGATGCACCTGAGAGATTTAGCCAGTGCAGTAAGTACTACAGGTAGCCTGGTGTTTTTAACGTGCATCATGCATTAGTGAAACACGGCTGCGCCCGTCCATGTCTAAATACGATGCCCGTCTAGGTCGAAACAGGCACGTCGAGCTTCCGCTCGACGTGCTTCGAGCTTGTGTGGGTTAACACACTCGACCACTGATGCCCCTCAATTGACGTTGCCATTGCTATAGTCAGATTTGAAAATTAGCAATTCGGAATTATCAGCGCTCTAGTCAATCCTTCTCAATTCTAAAATTCTAAAGTGAAAGGTCGCTGTTTGAGCATGAAGAAGGTTACTATTTGTGGCTCATCGCGCTGCACTAGCTGAACTATTTTTTTTGTACAATGTTTAGTCTGCAGTAAGTTGGGTAGCTAAAATAAAGTAAATAATATGCCTCTATTGAGAACAGAAAAGTGCAGTCGGGGAGAAATAGACCCAGTGGTAGACACGCGTTGAATTCTAGCGGCTTCTGTTTCGCTTCAGGACAAATCAGCAACCTTGAAGGCCTTCAAGCACTTTTCTTACCTCAGTGTGTAATACAAATTTCTCCTTCCTTAGTAAGATGAATAATCATGCACAACCCTCGTATCAACATGCCCGACTGAGTTTACGATCAAATCGCCACTTATTTCCGGTCGTTATTGCTCCCGCTTCGTCATCGATTGTTTTTTTTTTTTTTAATATTCCACATTACGTTTTTGCTATTGTGGATTGGTATTTACCGCCCAATAAGATTCTAACTGAGCTAACACAAGATTGCATGACCTTCTCGTTGTCTTGCTGGATCATAGTAATAGGAAGGAAATGTTTACAAAGGTTATGCCTATACACCAGTCTTTCGGTATTATCGAGATGCCTTATTGTTGTTCCTATTGTGTTGTTGCGTTATTACGTAGTGCTGTTATTTTTAACTTTGTTTCCGTAAGCCACCTTCGTATAATAGTCGAAATGTTTCCACAAAAATACTTTAAGGGTCACCTAAAACCCCAATGTCCATGATTTTTTGTTTATTATTGCATCAAACGCTTTACGAGCGCACGCTATACTGCAAAACACATTTTAATGCGAAAAAATATAGCGTGCCAATTAAGCAGTCAAAGATCCCCGTGTACTCCTCGCCCTCTCCTTTTTCTTGTCTGTTTTTGGTTTTGGTTTTCTTTGATGCAGTAGTAGTTACAAGCATTTTTTTCTCATTAATTAAGAGGCGTCGCGAGTGGTAGTATGTCTAACAATTACTAATGACGTTGATTAAATACATTTTTACGGCGCTTCAACTGCACTATGCCGCTGTCTTTCGAATATAAAAGCTGAGCCCGTAAGTGTTAGCGGCGAAAGTTTAACCGTCTCCTGGCTTTTTTTTTTTTTTTCATCTTATTTTTAATATGGCGTGGCGGCGCCCGGCGGCTTTGCTGAATGCGTTGAGAGGGATGGGGACAATGGGAAAAACTGCGACTTCGAGAGAAGAACTGTCAAGCGATGGCGAAGTTTGGGTTATCCCTGACGTCGACCCCCAAAGTCTGCGACACTTCGTTTTTCGCTTAATCTTATTCAAAAAGCGTTTTCAAGCGACTATGTTGAACACTGCTCAAAGACTCTGGGGGATCGGTTCCCGAGTGGGCTATCACAGATTAGTTCGAAGCACGTGGAGCGAAAGCTCCTCCGCGCGTTTCGATCTGAGTGAGCATCGTACCGGCGTGCGCTCGCGTATCACTACTGCGTGGTGCACGTTAAAGACCCCAGGCTATAGGGAGTAATCACTGGCGGCCATAGCTGTGTGCGCGACTGCTGAGCACGTGCTGACGGCGAGCTTGCACAGTTCTTTTGCAACGAGCGTTCCACGCCATCAATATTGCCGGTATTGGCGACGTGCGCGATCGAAAGCGTCGGTATGGTCGGCCTTCCACGATTGGCCCATTGCTGACTATGGCGCCAGCAAAGGTTTTCTCATTGACAGAAATAAGAGTAATGAAAGAACTTCGATTTTGACGGTGTTGGCAGTATTGGTTTCAGAGCGCAATGATTTCAAGCTTGCACCCTGCTCATTACAAACACCATCGAACTTGTTGTTCCCTAGGTAATGACGTCACGAAAGGTAACCATAGGAGGGCGCCACCGAAACATCTCGCTGCTGTGTATCGATATCTGTGTTGTTCGTGGCCCTTTAATATAATAAACACTTGCGGTATTTTTTTCTAACCCATCTCTATAGGTGATTTTACTCAGTGTTCAACATGGCGACGTTCCATTTAAATCCACTTAGCGCATCAGTTGTTCTACGAGTTATTTTACGTGTTTCTTTTTATCGCGTCATTGTCCACCCTAACAACAGTTTGTTATATTGTAATCACCTGCTCTACCCCCCCCCCCCCCTCTTCCTTTACACACACACGCGCACACTAAAAATCAAACGTCTCTTTTTTTTTTTTTTTGTCTTTTTCGATTTCAATCATCGACTTCCTATCATCTGCACGTTTACCGAGCGGCTGCTAATACAGTTCACAATACGCTATCTTTTTCGTTCGACGTCCGGCTAGGGTACTTCGACTTTAACAACGGGCTTCTGTATTAACTGAAACTTTGTAAGTTGCACGCCTCTTTTTTCTTATGTGATATGCGCGATATTACTTGAGTTGCGACATGACGCGGCTACCCAATGCTTGAGACAAATTCAATCCTACAGACAATGTTTGTTTTGGTTACATTATTCGTTAGATGGTTTACTTTTGATGGCGAGCTACGGTATCTTCCATTTTGAGATTTGTACTCAAAGAGTGCGTGTCTTTCTTAAAACACTTGCAATAAAACTCTATAATCCCCCCCCCCCCCCCCCCCCCGTTTACTCTTTCACAAGTTGTAAGTGCAGGATGCGAATGCTTATGATGTTCTTTTTCTTTTTTGTTCTTTTAGCCTTGGAACATACCCAGTGTGAACTTTTGAAAGCAAGGGGCAAGTCGGACACCAATGGAAGGTGAGTGCACTCGAACCCTTCCAACTTTTCGTGGCCAGTTTTAATATTTCTGTTTTTTGCTGCTGAAACAAGGAATTCCATCATAGCCCAACTGTTGGAAACTTTTTTTTTTTTTTTTTCAACAATTGCATTAATTAACCGGTCATTTCCGGAAGTTTAGTTCAAAGTACACTTCCTTGATGGGCTTACTGCCAGGTCTCTATATAGCTGTTTTCAATAGGCGAGGTTCATTGAACCTGTAGTTTGTTGCAACAAAATACATGCGAGGATATAAGCTCCGCCTCCGAAAATAAAAAAAGAACAGGAATGACGTTACAGCGTCGCTCGGCACGAGCGCAACCCTTTATCTGACGTCGTCGTCGTCGCACACGGCTCTGACGTCATCCCGCTGCGGTGGCGCTGCTCTCGGATCTGCGCATGCGCGAATGCTTCGTGCGAATCTGGTTGTCCCTTCCTGTTGTGGGCAAAAGCTTACTTGTTTGTAAACTTCGTGTTGGTCTGTAGACAAACAGAGGTCCTCTAATACCTACTCCGCTTATTGAACGTTGAGCGAGACTTTTGTTTTGCTCCGTTTTGTTTTGTAGTGGGTGTCTTTTCCGCAGTTCTGATATTCCAGCAGGCTGAAGTTGCCTTTGCGCAGGGCTTGGACTCATTACGCATTCATCTCGTTCATTAGCAGGTGAAACCACAGTTTGCTAAAAATAATAGTAAAAGTTTTTTTTTTTTGCGGGAGCTGACAATGTTTTTTTTTTTTTTTTTTGCCAAAAATGCTCATGTACGAACGCAAAACCCCATTCTACAGCAGCGACACTGCTCTCCTTCTCTTTGTTGTTTCTCACACACTGCAAGGCTGTCTCTCGCTTTCCCTCCCTCCCCCGTAGGCCGCCGCCGCCGCCGCCGCCGCCGCCGCCGTTGTTGTTGTTCCTGTCGTCGCTCTCTCTCTCTTTCCCCCCTTCCCCCAACCCCTCCGGCCGCCGCCGTTGCGAAATAGCCGCGTGGTTACGCTATGCGGCGGACACGCTCCCTCGCCTCCCGACTGCCGCCACCCAGGTTCCGTTCTCGTGTAATTTCCGCGCCTCTATGGAACAGCTCGCGTACCTAATTTCGCTTCTTCAACCGCAGGTTCGGTAGCGGGCGCTTCCTTTAAAAAAAAAACAAACAAAAAAAACATACAAGAAAAAAAATAATAACACGTCTTTGTGTTTCTTTTCTTAACATTCAACATCTTGGACAATCGTTCCACCAAAGCACACATCTCCTCACACACATCTTTTACATCTATTCCACCGAAAGCAGAGAACCCATTGCAAACATTGTATACACACTGGTTGAAGAAAAATCTCCTTCAACAAACCTTTCCACAATGTAGTAGATATCACTGTCAATCGCAGCGCACTTTGTGTGGCCGTTCGCTATTTTTTTTTTTCTTCACGATTGCACATTTTATTGCAATAAGGTGATCGGTCCTACTCTCTTGAAAAATGGGCTAGTTGGTACTGATCGCTCGTCTTCCTTGTGTACCTGCTTTGTTTTTTGTTTTATTTTTTAGTACGAATATGGAGGGTCGCCCCTCGCGAAACTAACTTGTCTAAAGGTACGGTAGCTTACTGGTTTGGTTAGATGTACACTGATCAGCCAAGACATTGTGACCACCACTTCATTGTAAGAATGAGCGCGCCTGTTCGCCGCGCCCTCCGCGTTATCTACCATCTTCTGATGCGCTCGGTCGGTAACGGCTGCTAGAGGTACAGTGGTATTATTTTGTCGTGTGTGTGTTGTGTGCAATGGGAAACGCTGTTGACTTTAAGCGTCTTTGACAAAGTCGCTTTGACTTTGTCTATGACAAAAGAACCACACGCGGCGGCGTGTGCTTCCAGAACGCCTCTGAGTAAATGCATTTCGTTGCTGCTAATTAATAAATTCAGTATAATTCGTTAATTAACGTTTTAATAAATGAAAATAGACATATGGTTCGAATCAAAAACCTACTGAGCGTCATCGAGAACCACTAAATCAACTCTTTTTAGAATGACTTGAAGCTCGGGGAGACCCGGGGGCACACCAACGTTACAGCAGCAGCAGGCGTAAAGCTAGCAGTGGCGGAACGCGATGATGCTCTAATCATTCGCGTTCCGCAACCGCTAGCCTTGTACCTGCTCCAGGAGTGGTAACTTTAGTGCACTACTACGCTTCTCACGCGCTCAAAGTTTTTTCTGAAATCACTGGTTTGGTGGTTTTCGATGACGCTCAGTAAGTTTCTAATTGGAACCATATTTCTATTTTCATTATTAAAAGTTAATTAACACATTTTAATTAATTAGCCGAATTATCGCAAAGACGAGCCACCCAAATAATGTCCCCCTGGCCGTATGAAAAAGCCGCGAAAGTTACACTCGTGTGGTTTTTGCAGGTGAACCATAAAGCAATGGGCCGGGTAAACTTGATACAAATAAGGCGTGTACTGAGAAGTTTCTGACAAGGAAGTTTAATATATCTATCTATCTTCATTTTTGTATAGAGAATGGTTGACGCTTCAAGAACTTTTACTTCCAGGCACGGATTTTCTCGCAAATGGGTCTGATTGCCTTCAGCTTTAAAGCCTTTCAGTACTCTACATTGAAAAGCCACGAAATCGATCTCCAGTTAATCCCCTTACTTTTTTTTTTTTCTCCGAAGTGGTTTTTTACTCGGATGTCGAGTTGAACCGCGCGTTGAACATTGCATTGCGTTTTTGTTTTATATTTTATTTTCACAGTCCTCGAACGAGAGCAGCTGGCTTTATCCGCCGTTTCCGCATACTTGTGTAAAGAGCAGCTTTCTTTCTTTCTTTATTTCAGTTTTTTTTTTCTCTTCTTTTTTGATTGAGCGAACGACGGTGTGGGCATTTCACTTTCGATGCTAATAAGCAGCGTCCTTGTGTTTTATTTCGGATTGCTTTAGCCTAAGTGGACTAATCTCGCAAGTGCATATAACAAATTGTTGTTTCTCTCATTAATGCGGGTGCAGCGGGTTCCGGAAGAAATGTCCCCGGAAAAAATGTCCCCGGAAAAAAAGTCCCCGGAAATTACGTCCCCGGGAAAAAATGCCCCAGGTAGAAAGTAGGAAACAATGTCCCCAATGGGACGTCTTTTCCACTGGCGTACGATCCGCTCTTGACTTTTGGGTATGAATCTAGAGTGTGTCATTTCTTTCCTGATTTTGTAACATCGCATCTCAACTGTTTCTGATTGTTTTTCATGGTGAAACTAGCCAATACCTAATTATTGTGTTGGGGAAATTGGAGAGGTACTTGTGCACCATTTCCAAATAGGTAAAGACCGCGACACTTACAACAAACAACCGATCGCTAGTTTTTTTTTATCTTTTTTTTTTATTGGAACGAAAAGTTAATTGTTATCAAAGGTATTGTAGGTACTGAAAGTGCTTATTTGGGCATATAATGCAGCGGGTAAGATTTCGTTCTTTCTAATACTCTCTCAGTAAAATGTGAAAATACGCCGATGTAGTGTTCGCGCTAACAGTGTCGCGATGTGTACGTCGCGGAATCGTATACTTCCTTATTTGTTGGGGCCGTTTTTTCCTACTTGCCACACGGTGTCCTTCTCCCCAAGGACATATGACTGGACCGCCCGAGGGCCATGAGGATAAGGGAAACTCAGAGATGGAAAATCCTTTGGGGTCATTTTCTCCTACTTTCCACCTGGGGCCTTTTTTTCCGGGGACATTTTTTCCGGGAACTTTTTTTCCGGGGATTTTTTTTTTTCCGGGGGCATTTTTTCCTACACCACAGATAGAGAACTAGATATAGGTTTTGTATCAAGAGCCACAGGAGACCACCTCAGGTTCATTTGACTGGAAATTGATCGATTGTCTTGTAAATATGCTTTATTGCTTTTCTTGTGCGATAAAAAAAGTCATAGGTAATCGAGCTGAATCGAATGACTAACTTTACACGAGGTCCGATCAGTTAATGTACATGATCACATCAGTATTGCAGTTCCAAGCAAAGGCAGCATTGCAGGATTGGTCTTTACGAGGCTGAAGGATATGTAACTACAACCAGCTGGCGTAGCTCCTTGAAAACCGTTGTTTAGTTAGACGGGACATATTTGTGCGTGTCTGTCCTTAATGCAAAGAAGTTTCTTTTTTTTTTTCTAGTTTTGTAGTGATTTTTTGGAGCGCCCAAAATTCAACTTGATAGGCGATGTGACTGAGTTACCTTCAGACTATTGGCGACCTTGGCTGAAAGCTTGCGAAACAACGGTTTTGCTTATCCGTGTGATCGGGTGTTAAGCGACTTATAAATATATTTATAATGGAAGTTATACACCTGAACAGCTACATTGAAGCTATGAAGTCAATACCAACCGTTTGGACGTGTCATATACGTATAATGGTTTCCTAGCCCGTTTTCAATTATTGCATTACTATATGTTTCAATCTTTTCTTTTTTTTTTAAATTAACGCGTTTTGTAAGTGGTTTGTTCATAGGAAAGGTGGCACATAGTATATACTATATGATATGAAGCGGGATGAGGAAGCTTTTTTTTTTTTCATTTTGCACGTCTGCGCCCCTGGATCTTTTTTCTGGGGACAACAGGCGGTTGCCAACGTCAAGACGACGTTGGCCACTCGTGCCGTTCCTCGCGGCAGGACGGGCATTCGCCGACCGCGCGTGCCAACGGTGTCTCGTCTGGACAGCGAAAAAACAGCTCGTGCTAACTGTGCAACGACAACGTAGACGCTCAGAGACAATGGCGGTATCTTTTTGTTCTGTACCCCGTGTCTTTGTCTCCTTCTGAAGATCGCATCGTTGCGAAAGGCTCCCCGAAGACGACAGGTGACGACAACGTACATGCCATCACACCCGCTTAATCTGAACCAGTTGTGGCGGACCAGACTAAAGCCTGAGTGTAGCGTTTGCCTTGATTCGTTCTCAACTCTCCAAATCGTCTCGTTTTATCAACATGTTGCATCCTCTTCGAAGGTACAGCGGACATCAATTTTCTTTTATTATGTTGGATTGTTGTTTTTGTTTCTAAAAGCCCGGTTTCAATCGTCCACTCCAAGACAGCGCTGTTGGGGCATTAGGAATGCGGATATCCATAGCCTCCTCTCTATAGAGGAGGCTATGGGATATCACTCAGCCATTCTTTTCGGTTGGCGTCGGCACGCCTGGTTGTAGGTGTGCACTCAAATTATATCTCTTCAGCGATTTGTCAAGCAGTGATGAAAAGAAGTCACGTGCAAGCTACGAAGTCAGATTTTTGGTGGCACGTCTGGTCAACTTCAGATCGAATGGTATTCTGGCGTGAGTGTGACGAAAAAAGGAGTGCAGGGAACTTGTAAATTCAGTCAAAGCTGGCCCCGTCCCGTGTTTCTTAAAATGGCGATCCGAGATATCTTCAGCAATGCCACCTGCAACATTTTTTTTTTTTTAAAGCTCTGTTACGTTTGAGTTAAACCAATCTCGCTAACTAACAATGGTGAATTGGGCTTGTCAGTGAGCAAGGTTTCTTTTACTGTTAGGCAGGTGAGGATTGAATTTAACAATGGTACGACTGTCATTCAGGGTGTTACACAAGAGATGCCGTTGGCCCGCGTTACTTAGGCACGATGTTTCACGTGTCAACGCCGTGTGGCACCACAGACGCGCGTACCTGATAACGCTCGACTCGGGAGTTTGTCACGTCGCCTAGACTATACGTGACAACGTCGGTCTACGCTGTCTCTTGCGTGGCAAACGTCACCCGCGAGAGAATAGTGATATCGCAGATCCTTACGACGAGTCGGGTACACTAGTCTACACCCAAGTTGTAATTTTCGTGTCCTACTCGAACGACCCCTCGCGGGAGAGAACACATCTCGACTCTGATGTACTTTTCGTCTTTTCCAGTCGGTCTGATGAAATGGAAATGCTCATGACCGACCTAGAACGTGCAAATCAGGTAAGCACGCCTTTCAGAATTCCTCCGCATGCGATCATTTGGTCAAGCCTGAGCACGCCGCGCATGCGCGTTGTTTTTCGGTGCTGCTTTCCCGGCCGCTCTGCGACGGTCACCGTGTATACGAGTATCGCAGTTCTCGATGGGAAATCGCACGAAATGCACGAACGCGCTTCTGCGTATTAGCACCCGGGGCTGCATAGCCTCCTCTATACTGACAAAGCCTGGCAGATCGCCACGAGAAGCGGCCGCCGAAATGGCAAAGGTGGAGCGCAGACAACGGATGAGAGGAGAGCCATGTGACTAACGCCCCGCTGCGGCCAGACGCCGAAACACACTTCTCCCGAGCGAACAAATGTGTTTCGGGTCCTCGCCGCTGCAAAAGCTGTGCGCTCACGTCCAGGTTCCCCGAGAAATTCTCTGTGCTACCAGATCCTCGCGCTCCAAATCTGCGACTGATCACTCTATGGCTCCGTCGTCGAACCGCCAGGCCTTGTAAGTACAGAGGAGGCTATGGGAGGTGTTTCAGCGGCGTCTTCTCCGGCCGTTGTCACATCGATCGTGCATCGGTCAAGAGACGCGCTGATGCCCCTGCAGACGCGATGACAGGATTCCCTTCCTACACTCCTCAAGCACGCTCCGAGCTTATGTTTACTTCGTACTTGCGCGTAGCATGTCTGTGGACAGTTGTATGACCAGTGGAACCGTCGTACAAGGAACGCACTGTAATTATAATGCGAGTAAATGCATTATACACTGTGTCTGAGTCTCCAGACTGCCTTTTGCACGATGTCTTATATATCAGTGTTACTGTGGCTTTTGTGGTATCTCCACATGACGCGTTACTGCCGGAATTTTCATCGCCGTGTTGCCAGAATGTTGAAGGCCCTAACTACTGATTACCAGTTGCGTACTAGTTAAGTTGTGTGCGTAAAAAGACAAAACAAAAGAAAAACACGGTGGATACTCGGAGTCATAGCGTTGTTGTATAAACATCGTCAACGCAGACAGTTTGAAATTACTGTTTTTTTTTACGCCGATAAATTCAGTAATAATATTTCATAGTTAGTGTTTGACTAATTGTAATGTTGGTTGCGCAAATCGCCCCCCAAAAAGTTTTATTTTTTTGATGATATTGATATTGGTTTTAGTTCGAAATGATCTTTGGATTCAGGCCGGCTCGTTCGCGCAGGCATCGCGTAGCGCCCAGCCCAGCCCTTCTAGCACGATAAGCTTCCGCCGCCTCCCTCGCTCCGACGACTCTCGGACGAAGAATCAAAGTCTCGGCAGAGCGCCCCCTTCCATACTCCCGACACGCGTGCGTGCAGGGCGCTGGCCAGCCCGTACTCGCGTTGCGCTAGGCCGCCACAACGGGCGGGCTTCGACGGGCGTTCGAGCCCGGCGTCAAGGCGAGCCGGGAATCACTTTGATGACTAAGCCCCGTCATCGGAGGGGCAACTCCATCGACTCTCCCCTTCCCCGCTTTGTTTGAAGGAACTCGTCTGGTCCACGAACGCGCGTAGGGAAAATAATAATAATAATACTAAAAGAGAACGAAAACGAGAGGCGATTCCAATTTGGGAAGGGGATCGGGGAGTAAGCAAGAACGACCGAGAATTAAAAGCGAACGGTACAACAGGGATGGAGGAGCGGAGAGAAGGGGGGGGTTACCGAAATTGGGGAGCGGTAGATTTAGATCGGCACACAAAAAACCGAACAAAAAAACAGCCGAAAGCCGGTACGAAGGGGTTGATCGGAGATTCCTTTGTTGAGGCGGCGCGCGCAATCGGCGGCAGCAGCGGCGGCGGCGTCAGCGGCTCCTGGGGCTATTATGCCAAAAGAGGCGTCGGTCGATGGCTCAGCCGGAGAGGAAGCAACCCTTTGACATGCGCTCTGCCGCACAACCCGCGGCTTCCCTCTCTCCCAGCACGCGCGGAATCCCATCAAGCGCGCCAACACCGCGTGCGCGGGAATAAATAAAGCGGGCTCCAGACGTCCCCCCACCCTTCCGCCCAAAACGTGGAACTGAAAAATTACGAAAGCGAAAAAGAAAAGAAAGAGGGATAAAAATGGGTTTCCAAATTATTGGAGGAGAGCCTCGCATGGGCATCGATCTGCCAGTTGACGCCACCGCCGCCTGTGTGGCAGTGTCGGGGAAGGGGCCAGGCGGAATCAGCGGTAATTGCGAATGCAATCACGTGAGCGTGCCTGCCTGCGCACGCTGGAGACCAACTATAGGCTGTCGCGAATCGGCCGTCGAACTGGCGATTTTCCTTGTCTATTTTTCTTTCCCTTATTAGAATTCTGTCGCTCTCCTCTGCCTGGGTGTCGCGATGAGGGGAGCCGCAGCGGCGATAAGTCGCGCGCCAACACGTCCTCGTTAGTGTGATTGACTTTCCGTCTTCGCATCGTCGATGATTACGCCGAGAGCGCGTCTGCGCGACGCCGGCGACGCATGCGTTTTGGAGGAGGCCGGATTCGGCCGCCGTATATGTCCTTTGCCTTTCGGTCGAACGTCGTGAATCATGGCCTCGGTGGGATTTGTATCGATCATCCCCCGGTTAGTTTTACTGGATCGGCAAAGCGTGTCGCTTAGTAGCTTATCGCATCGGCCGTGGTGTTGCGTTATCTTGGGGTGTATATGTACACCGATCCGCCGTGACATCAGAGGCAGCGCCGAGGCCCCTGTCGCTGGGAATGGTGTGTCGTCGTCTACAACGGATCTGCTCCATGTCGTCCGTCCTAACGGCCTTTCTTTCTTTTTTTCCGTTTCGGAGGCTAATGTACTCGCATTAAAAATCGGTATCGTGTTATCGTGAAACCACTGAACGTCAGCCGATATTATATGTATCCCGCGTGCGCAACTGTTTCATTCGCGAAAAAACTTAATTTTTTTATTACGAGCTCCACAAGTAGACAGGGTCAACACAGCAACAACCTAAAGACGAGTTTTACCCTCAGCGCACTTGCGCAGCTACACAATCGATGGGAGAAGTCGGGCAACATCGGGATTTTACATCCGTATCGGAAAGAGCGCTCGGCGCCCGACGGCGGCAAAATCGTACCCCTTCGGCACACCATGCAGGGCAGGACATGTGCGATTTAGATATTTCTCTTTGAGATTCGTTACCGCTCGTTAAACGTGCGCACCAGGAAGGCTCGCGTAGCTCCTTCTCTCCATCCTACCCTATCTAATATGCCGTGCTCGATGCGAGTGCCACCTGTCGCATCTATGTCGCCTTCCCCTCGCCACCTGTTTCAGCCGGAGCATCGCTTCTAATCCCGTAGCCACAGCTGCGCCATTTTGACTCGCGATAGCGATCAAGTTTGTTTCACTTGCTGGTTTTTGTTTCATTGTCTCGCACTGTTTATTTTGTTCCCTTCATTTTTTCTTTCTTCCTCTCTTTATCGCCTCTCTCTTTGTTTTTGTACCTTTGTAGGTTCTCTTGATATTTTGCTTTGTAGCTGCTTCAGTGCGCTTTCGCTTTTTCGGCGTTGATCGAACGCCATGCGGAGAGCAAGTCGTCTGCTTTTTGCGCAGGGGTTGCGATGACGTCAGAGAGACGACAAGCTCTGATTGGCTCTGGTTGAAGAATAGTGGGCAGACCTCCGAGCGAGCTGCCTTCAGGTCTACCCACTATCCTCCTACATTTAGAACCAATCAAAGCTCGGCGTTCTGCGCCAAGCTTTGATTGGTTCGCAACCCCTGCGAAAAGAAGCAGACGAACTTGTGCTCCGCATACTCGGTTTCATCTTGGGACGCACCGGGGCGAACGCTACGAACCATCCCAGCCAATCAGGGCGCTGCAAACATGTCACCTGACTCCCCCCAAAGATCAGGTGACATTGAAGCGGCATTGAATTGGCTTCATGGCTCCTAGCATCGTTAGCGGTCCTTCGTAAGGTGAAACTGAGGGTAGTAGTAGGTATCTCCCTCCCTTGTTCCGGCATATATGACTTTTTTTTTCTAATGACGCACGAGAGAATTAAAAAGTGCGAAAAAATTAGTTTCTTCTTTCGTTTCGTATTTTGTTTGTTTTACCATCGTGCGTGGCTCGAGTTGCGACCACATCCCTCATTATTCACCCATCTACGTATACGGCTGCTTTTTTCGCCACAAAAATGGAAGTAATTGATGTAGAGGTAGGACGACCAGCTACAAATACTCGGAATAAAAATATAAAGAAAAGGAAGAAAACAAAAATGCAAAATTGGTTGCCGAGCTTTTGGCTCTCGATGGCACATTCGAGTTCGATTTCATCGGCATTTCCAGTTCTGCCGGTTTACGCAAAGAGAGAGAGAGAGAGAGAGAGAGAAATAAAAAAAAAATAGACATTAATAGTATTGATGAGCGCGATCCGTTGATTTACACCCCCACGATTGTCAACGTCACCCCAAAAACTTGTAAAACTGTAGGGTGGAGGATAGCAATAGTTGATTGCCCATTGTCTGGACGAGTCGGCTTCCTAATTTGATTTTTATACATTGAGGACTGTATTACGCAGTGATGAAAAATTGCGGCATTTGCGCCAGATTGCGCCATAAACGAAATTCTGCTACATCTTGCGCCAATGTGCCTTTTCTTTTTTCTAAAAATTGCGCCACACGTGCGCCAAAATGGCCGAAGCATAAAAAAAAAAAAAGATATGTTTGTCGATTCTAATATTTAAAGAAGTAAGAAAAAAGAAAAATGGTACAAACTTGTATTTCACACTTTCTAACTCACCGTACAGTTTGGTGTAACTTAGGTCAGAGTGCAGTCGAAGGCTCGGACACATACAACCACAAACACACACTAAAAGTGCGAGCCACGGGACGTTCGCTGCGCTCGATTTGTTTAGTCGACGAAAGACCGTGCCCAGGAAGGTGGACGAATGCCACGATGTGGCGCTTAGACGCTGGTTGGTCCCATAGGCTCGTGACGGCGGTTGCTATTTAAATTCGAGTTGAACGAAGTATTGAGATTGCTCGTTAACCCCGCTACTTGGTTGACGCGCTGGCGG